GGGGGGGGGGGACTCCCATTATGCTCACCAGGGCTGTAGCTAGTAACAAGCAAACCGAGGTACTTGCCTCAGTCATTTTTTTTTTTTCGTTTTTGATGTTCTTAGTCATCATAAACATCCTAAATACCTAGGAAGAGAATTATACCATAGACGTTGCCTCAGTCGTAATTTATCCATGGTCGTTGCGTCAGTCTGAATTTTTTCATGGTCATTGCCTCAGTCTGAATTTATCCATGGTCATTGCCTCAGTCATAATTTATCCATGGTCATTGCCTCAGTCATAATTTTTTCATGGTCATTGCCTCAGTCATAATTTTTTCATGGTCATTGCCTCAGTCATAATTTTTTCATGGACATTGCCTCAGTCAATTTGTTTCTGGCTATGGCCCAGCCCACTGGAATGTAGGGCAGCAACAAAGTTCTTCCACCACTGTCGGTCTGTCTTTGCCCTGCTTTTGGAATGTGTCCCAGCTGTGACTTAATCCCCTCATTACTGTCTCTGAGGAGCTTAAACCACAGCTCTGGAACAAGTCTGGTGCCTGAAATGATTAATCACCTTTCTGTTTACAGAAATCGACAGATGTGTTGTGAATAATGGCGGCTGTCATCAAAATGCTACTTGCACTGTTGACATTACTCTGCCAGGCTTCAGGTCTTGTAAGTGCAATCGTGACTTTACAGGAGATGGGCTGTTTTGCGTTGGTAAGTACTTCTACAACTAGCAATCACTCTTGGGGAAATAAAATTGTCTTGTGTAGAAAATTGGTTGTTCAAAGCTTATATAGCACTGCCTTGTGGATAAAGATCGCCATGGTGGCATAGACTGTATGACCTTTTATCCACTAAAAAAACTGGAACTCAAATAGCAAATATAAAGGAATTTAAAATAAAGTCAATAATGTGTCCGACGCGTAAATACGACACCCCTGACTGCAATTTTAGTGTCTTTCATTTAAGTTGACATTTGTTAGGCTCTACCTTTTTTCTACTCATCAACTGGAAAGCATAGTGTTCTTCTTCACTGTGGACACCTGGAGCAAACAATCTTCTCTCAGAGACATAGAATGATCTCTCTTGAGTGGTAGTCGTAATGTAGGTCCTTACTATCATTTAGTGTCGTCTCACAGTGGAATGTGATAAGTGTCAAATCTTACTTTATTTATCTTTGTCTTGCAAAATCTAAATTAAGCATCAACTAGCAGAGGAGGCACCCACGGTGAAAAAACTAGAACATTTAGCAAATCCTTATTGGTTTCAATCCTGAGATAGATTAACGTAATGAATGTATGTCGATTAGCGGCCCCTAGCGGCTTATCCCCCAATCACAAGTCGATTAGCCCCCATTCACCCTCGTATTCACGCGTAAAGAAGGAGAAGTAGACATTGTTTTGGACCTCTGTTTGGGAGCTACACAGTTGGGGGCTAATCGACTTGGGGGCTTAACGACCGGATACCAACTCATAACACAATACGCATAGACGTATGTCTTAACTATTGATCTGTGGTCTTGATTCAGAAATAGATCCATGTCAACGGAATAATGGTGGCTGCCATAAGAACGCAACTTGTACTAATATAGCACCTGGGAAGGTATGAAGCCCTTGTGTTACGACTTGCCTATACATAGTAATGAAATTATTTTGGTTAGTGACAAATTTTTCTTGGCTGTCGCGCATTTCCTGCCTTAAAACATTTTTTTTTTGTCTTTCCAGAGGAATTGTTTTTGCAACAAGGACTTTTCAGGAGACGGTGTGAAGTCTTGTGTTGGTGTAAATCCATGTGACTTAGTGAGTTACCCTGTTTATTTGTTACTAGGTTTCCTTTTCAATATGATTTCATCCACGCTAGTTATTATATGGATTCAGAAACTAGATCTCGCCTTTGGCACCAGAAACAGAGGCCCAGGGATATATTCTCAAGTTGGAGAATTAACGTTATTGTGGATTGTTGCAATGTCCCTTTCTAACCAAGAGTATTAATTGGTACCGGAAAATATATTGTGAGAATTCTGATAAAACGCTGTGTATATTCTGTGATTTATATTACTTTCTTGAACATGAAAATAGCAAAAGGACAATTGTAAATGGCCCAAATCCTTAACCTCAGGATCTCAAATCAGCTTGTGACAAAAATACCTCCACTAGATGTTATAACTTGCAAGTTACCCAAGTCTTAAGGTTCTCTGAGTGCTTTTTCACAACTGTTTATAAGGTCAATTGTATTAAAGTTAAGTTAAGGTTTCAGGCAGTCCTTAGCTCCTGTTCCTTTAGCGTGAAGCGACTAGGGTTGTCCATCATGCTAATCCATCACAGGTTTCCATGACAGTTCACCATAATAAGCAATAGAGCGCGTTTTCCGTGTTTACATAGCTTCATCTAAACACAAAGCGAGGAGGAGGGGGGNCCCCCCCCCCCAAGTGATTAAAAGAGGCCTATCTAAACACAGAAAAAGGACTGCATTGTTTTTCTAGTAATATCTTTTAAGAGTACGTGCAAATCAAAAACGTCACAACCGTGTTTGCATACTCTCATCTAATCACTCCTATCGACCAATGAGCGCGCGCGTAGTATCTCAGTTATTTTATAATATTCATTTGGTCTCCTGAATGAAGGGAGCTTGACGTTACTCTCTTATTGTGAATGTTGTTGTTTTCAGGATAATGGAGGATGTAGTGACAGAGCAGTTTGTAACAATGTAGGACCACACCAGAGAACGTGCACCTGTAGAAAATTCTATGTTGGAGATGGATTCACGTGTATTGGTGATATAATGGAGGTAACAAGGAAAACTACAGTTAATAGATAGAGCGGTTTTCAATTGAGTGTCGTAAAACCAGAACTAAATAAATTTTGTTACTTTTATAGGCTTTAAAGCTTGACCCTCAATTGTCAGCAGTAGAAAGTCTTATCAAGGTAAGGCAAAAAATGTATATATGCTCTAGGTGTAAGCATGAGCTCATCAACAGGAGTGTTCAAAAAACTTACTGTCAATTCAAATGTCTAGATAGAGCTTTTTTAGTATATTGTTTTACAATTACCTTTTGCTTGAGTCAGTAGTTTTTAATCTTTAAACTGGTGATTACTCACTCTTTATTGTGCAATGGGCGTCCTCTAAAGAGAGGTTTAATGTATGACATAACTGAGATGCTTTTATGTTTTCAGAAATATGGTCTTGACAAGCTCTTGGCCTCTCATGGCCACTTTAACCTTTTGGCTCCAGTAAACGCTGCTCTTAACCAGTTACAATCAGGAAGTCGTAAGGTAAGAAACGTTTGTTAGCTTCAATGTATGAATGAACGAATGTCTATTTACCAGAAATTTCTTGAAATTTCTAGCTGAGGCAATGAAGAACTTCTGATGGCTCATATCATTAGAAATTCCAAAAAAAACATATTTTTAGTTGTTAGGCAGCTTTGTATTGGCAGTAAAACATTTTGATTTCCTAATAAAAGTCCTTTACCTAACTTTCAACGTTTTCCTTGACTTTTCCTCGTGAATCTGTGAGATTCTCGGATAAAAAATTCAAAGTCATGGCTACGTTTCTTAACCAATCAGATATTTCTGTCTGGAAGTTATACCAATTAACGTTTTCATTGCTATGGACAGCGTCGTAGTGTGCAGGTACCAGCAAACCAGGAGGAAATGTTTTTGAAATACCACATCATTGGCTGTGCAAGAATCCCTAAGAACTTCCTTGGTGATTCTGCAAACTTTACAACACTGCTCGGACCGTCTGTATCAGTGAAAATAGAGGTACGTTTTAATGTCTCTTGGTTATGCTTTTAGTGCGGTTTTCAATTGAATGTCGTAAAACCAAAACCAAAGTAATTACTCTAGCCTATCCTACAGTGGACAATGGAAAGGGAGCTTAAGGAGAAAGGATTAAAATTTTGGGCAGAGGCGGCGTCAGCTGCAGAGGATAGGGTAGCCTGGAAGCAGAGAGGCGACAGCCCAGTTGATTCCCCAGTAGGAGAACGGAACGATGATGATGATTCTAAAAGCCACACACAATACAGTGAAACAATGACAACTCCAAGTAATTACGTGTAGGTGACGTAAAGCGCGGGAAAACGAGTGCGAGCGAGGCTCGATTGAGTTTGGTTTTACTTCTGATTGGATGAAAAATTTGCGCGAGGTTTTTAAGCCAATCGTGCAGGGTAGATGATACAAAACAGATTACTTTTCGACAATCAAATAAAAACCGCTCTAAAGATAATTAAACTACAGTAATAGCCCACGTATAAGAACCTGAATTTTTCAGTTTAGCCTAAATAGGTTCTCATATAAATGGTACTTAAAGCATATTTAGGCTACCAACGTTCTTAAAATAGGTTCTTATATTTTCATATGAATTTCATCTGAATACACAATATATATTAGAAATATCATCTCATAATACAGTATAAATCATTTATTTGTACCATAGAGCAATGCCTATAGGCAGTTCAGTGCAGGTACAGTATATGTCCTTAACAAAACATAACAAAGAAACTTTTTTATTTCATTGGGATATATTTTGATATTTTACATTTAATATTTTGTGATTCTCACAGAGTTGGAGATGGTCAGAAAGCTTTCTTTGATACTGTAGTAGAGTACAGTACTTGCAAATACTTGGGGAATTATTTGGATGGCAAACACAATAGACATACAACATGGTACTTAAGCTTGA